CTAACATATAATTATCCAGCTCTTACGTTCCCTTTGGGATTATGAAGGAAAAACAGCCACTTAGGTTATTTAACTACCAATTATTTTTTCAAACCTTGGGCATGAGTACAACTTTTTTTTTTAACCTGAATTTTTATCTCCTTGTGGAAAAAAGAAGAAAACTTTGGGGTGGGGGCGTTGAGGAAGACAGATATAATACCAAAAATAAAGAGGCTAATGGAACAAAAATTAAAAGTCTGAACCGGAAGCCTGAATCTGCTGTTAGCTTTCCCAGAGCCCAAGTGTACATTCTGTCTTTTTTTTTTTTTTAAATGGGGACTTTGTCAAAACCTGTATTTTCTTAGTAACCATTTAACTTTAGAAAAGGAAAATGAAAAACAATATCTTCCGTCTGTCTAAAGAGTTTCATGCAAGGTCAAAGGATCCAGGGAACAGGGCTTTCATCCCCCTGCTCTGCTGTCAGAAAGGCACATTTCAGAACCAGACCAGGCTGTGGCAGGACCCCAGAGGACAGATGTGCAAAAGCAACCATAGGCCACGGCGCCCTTGCCCTTCCCATGGTATCCCTGCTGTGTCCAGATGTTCCAGTGTAGTGGCCGAAACACCTGATAAAATGATCGCCAAGTTTCATCTTTAGCCCTGGGATTTGATATTTCTCCTTTTCCTCTTTCTTACTTGCTCTACCCCCTTACTCCTTCCTTTATTGTCTCCTTTGCTCCTCCTTCTCTGGCCCCTCTGTGTCTACTCTTTACTCTTCTGTGAGAAAGAAAAAGGGGGTTCAAAGAAAGTAGGAAGTATGTGTGTAGGAAGTAGGTGTGCATGGGGGTGGGGTGGACAGAGAGAGGCCAGGATGGAGCTCAGTGATAGAACACTTGTATGGCCTGTATAAGGCCCTGGATTCCACCCTTCCAATGGAGGGGGGGGAGGAAGAAAGAAAAGAAAGAGGGAAGGAAGGAGGGAGGGAGGGAGGGAGGGAAATAAGGAGGGAGGGAGGAAGAGAAGGAGATAGAAATACTGATAGTATAGTGGCATGGGAGCAGAGATTGGAAAAAGGTCGTCTCAGAGGGAAGGAGACGTGGAAGCTGGAAATGGACCCAGAGAAAGGGAAAATGAGAATGAAAGAACAAAATGCAAGAAAAGACCCTGAAGGAAGGACATCAGGAGAAAAGGAGGAAGCGAAACAGAGTTGGGGGAGGCCGTTGTTGGTAAAGAGCGCTACACTCTCGCTGCACCATCTACGGCATCTATGAAGCCTGGGAACCTTGAGTGGGTGGGGGCAAGATGGAGTCCCCAACAAAGTCAGGATACTGTGCATAAGTTAGGGAGCACGGAGTGGACTGTGGTGGCTCGCTCCTTCGCTTCCTGGTGTTTTGCCCATCTTTCTTTTTCTAATTACAAAACGAACTCTGCACTGTGGTGTGAAACCCAAGGCCAACCTGGCCTATCAGAGTCCTTCTAGGACCTTGAAAGAGATGTTTTCCTTCTCTCAGGGTTTTCAGTGGGAGGCTGTCTGTGGCCAGTTTAAGAAGGTGAAAGAATTAGAAGAACAAAGGTCGGCAGGAGTAGAGGTGAGGAAGAGCCACTTTGCTGGGTCATTCCATGCTGGGAGATGTCATAATCATCCTCCGAGCTGGTGCATTTTTTTTTTTTTGTCTTGCGTAACTTTAGCTGCGTCTTGGAGTCAATACACTATAAGGCATTTTAAACCTCCACGTTAAACCATTCGCTAGCTGAACTGCTCTTTTTGAAAGTTAGTTGCAGGAAGAAAAAAAAAAGAAAGAAAGAAAAATTCAAGTTTGAGATTTTGGAGGTTGAAAGCCGTGCCCCTCCTCTGTGTTGTTGACTGAGAGGAGATTCCTAGGCCAAGATCCGCAGCTTGGTTGAGAAATTCTGATGGTAATCCCAAAGCCCCAACATGGATGAATAGTTAAGAGGGAACAGAACTTCATTTTGAGATGGATCAGGGATACATATCAGTGCTTTGGATCTATCTATCTATCTATCTATCTATCTATCTATCTATCTATCAATCAATCATCTATCTATCTACCTATCTATCTATCTATTTATGCTGAAGTTTTAATTGAGGACTAAGTCAGCCCCTTCAGTGACATTTGTACTAAAAAAGCTCGGAAGAGCCCGAGGCCTGAAGACGGTGCCCTGTGGACAGTCCCATTGGCTTGTCTACTTTGATAAGAGCCTGTCTCCCAGGCAGCATCCGTCCAACTGGTTCCTCTACTTTTTGAGGAGCTGTGCCCAAGGATGACATTTGCTGTGGTAGGCAGGCATGCCTGTGATGAACTAAAAGCCACACAGCATTTGTTAAACAGGAGGTCTGAGCCTTGCTCTATACTTTAAAACAGCGGTTGACTTGGTCTGGAGGCAGCTTCCACCTTCTTCTCTAATTCTGGCAGAGATGCTGTGAGATGGGCTAGGACTGTACACCAGCCGGTTGCTGATTCTCATCTCCTAAATTAGTGCGGTGGGAGACTAGTCCCAGACAATCACTAGCCAGGGGCCCGCTAAAGCTAAATATTACAAGGTTGCCACCAACCTCCTTTGGAAGAGCTTATTATGGTTTGCATGTGTTGCCACTTGGATTTCTCAGTGTAGTGGTGGTGCCTACTGGGAGTTTCTGGATACTGGGAGCAAAGAACATGGTGTATTATGGCCTCTCCTGGATCCGTTCTGCTCTAATGGACTGTGGCCATGGCTGCCCCTCCCTTCTCCCTCTTCCTAGAGCTGGCACAATGCTCTTGGAGGGCTTTCCTGCCTCTTGAACTGTGATCCCAAATAAACCCATTTTCATTTAAAATGGGCCTGTCTCAAGCATTTTGTTATATGAGAAAGACAGACATGTTGGACTACTGCAGCTCTGAGAAACCAATACTTATTATTAAACTAATGTGCTTCCCCCCCCCCCACGCGTGCCCAGGGCCAACTTCATCTCTGGTCTTAGTACTCGACCATGGTGTATATAAAAATCTCATTCAGAAAGCATAGCAAAAGTTACTGAAAACACTTATAAAAAAGGCATTTTTTTTCTTAGCGGGCCAGGCATTTTATTGAGAGATGTTAGACACTTTCATTTCAGACCCCTTCATTAAGTTTCTTTACAATGCAATCAGTTATCCCCCTGTCAGCTGTGAGGCACCTGCCACCAGCCCCCCTCATATGTGGCCAATTTAAACATGGTGAGTGTACTGTTTCTTTGTGAGTCTTACAACACTCCGTCATGGACAAGAAGCGTCAAATCTTTCCGGCTGATTAGAAACTTTGACATTTATTATGTGTGTGCCTGTGTGCTCTGGAACAGGTGGGAGGTTGGAGGATTACTTGTGTAAATTGGTTCTCTCCTTGCACCTGGTGAGTGCCAGGCATCTAGCTCAGGGGGTCAGGCTTGTTAGTAAGTGTGCTTAGCTGCTGAGCCTCTGGCTAGCTTTTAGTGGAATACACACACACACACACACACACACACACACACACACACACACACATACACACACACACATGCTTTTACTCGGTATAAACCTGTATGAGGGATTTGGAGTGGGACTTTGTGAGTTCAAATCCTGTCTCCACCTCTAAAGAACTGTGTGACTTGTTTAAGTCCCATAATCTCTCTGAATCTGTTTTTTGTAAACGAGACAATAACACAACGTTGGGAGTGGGCTGTCTGGAGATCGCACCAATGGCCTGGAGCTACAGTTCTTAATTGATTAAAGAGAAGCATTCTACCTCTCCCTCGGCTCGCCCTCTCCAGAGCCTGGCACAAAACTTATTCTCACAGGTGTTTTGAAAGTACGAGTCTGTGCATTAACTGGTAGGAACAGCAGCAGCTGCTTCCAGGACCTTGAGACACCCGAGGCTTTCCTTTAGGAGGAAGCGTCCCCATGGCCAGCAGCCCCTCGTTTGGGAACCAGGCTGCATGAGCGAGGGTCGACAAGCGGGCTGCGATCGAGCATCCCCGGGGCAGGCCCTGGGGGCGCAGCTGTGCGTGCGTCGCCGAGGGTGGTGGCGGCAGGCACCCCGCCCTTGGCCGCCGCCTCGGCGTGTCAGGTGCCGTGAGAAGCGCGGGAGGGGCGGCCAAGAGCAGCGCCCAGGGAGATGACTGGAGCCGACTTCCCAGAAGTCGCGCACGCAAGGCACAGCTCCGCACGCAAGGGGGAGGCGACAGCAGAAACTTTTCAACCCGATCGTTCCAGGCTTGCAGAGCTGCCTCCTCCTCCCACTCACCGCCCCCTCTTAGGTCTCCGCTCCAGGACTGCCCCCGGCGGCGCCCAAACTTGCTTTACAGCCTGGGTGCGATCAGAGCGGTCTCGCGTGTCCAGCAGGTGGCGTGTCCCCTATCTTTCCAATGTGGGACGCCTCCAGGCCTGCTGAGCTTTGTGTGCCTAAGGATGGTCCACGCCTGGGGCGGTAGGGCAGCAGCTTTCAGGGTTTCCTGATCACGCCAGCAGAGGTGGAAAGAGACCTGTGCACACCAAGAGCCACGCTGTAGGGCCAAAGGGCTTGCAAAACCTTAAGATAAAAATCAAGGCAAGACAAACCGTAAGCAACCCAAGCTACCCCTGTTCCTAAAACGACAAGTTTCCTTTTCTGGCTGGGTGCCTAAGGATCACGAGCTAAGCACCAAGCTCGAGTCACCTGGAGGAGGGGGGGGGGGGCGAGCTCTTGGGTGCTCTCTGCTCCAGCGCGCAGAGGCGTGGGAAAATTCCGTCCCAAACTCGGTTCTGGGGAAAGCGTGGGGTCTTGACTCGGGGATGGCTGATGATAAGAAGCCGTTATCGCCAAAGGAAAACTTTACGAGGCGGCTCCCGACAAAACTGCCAGCTACTGTTCCTGGACCGTCCGAGCGCGCGGCGCGGACTTCCCATTGGACCACCCAGGGTCACCCTGAGCGCGGATGGGAGACCCGAGAGTCTTGAGTCCAAGCCCCAGACTTTCGCGCCCCGCCCCTCACGCCCCACCCCCTCAAGGTCCGGTTCCCTCCAGCCTCTACCCAGTCCTTAAAACCCCCGGGTAGAGGGATGGCGCGTGTCGCCTCTGGGGTGCGTTGCAGACACCTCTGCAACGCCAGCTTGAAAGCCGCCCCGGGCCTGGGATTTGATTCCACTTTATCAACTCCTAACCCCCACCCATCTCAACCGCAACTCCAACTCCGTGAGAAAGCCCCGACTTTGCGGAGGAGCCCCAGGTGCAGTGGAGCTCAGCAAACTTGAGACACTTTTTCCCCCCCTCTCCTCCACCCCAATCCAAGTTTAGGTTCTGACTGAGCCAAGAGTGGGTGCTAAAAGCAGCGGGCATCAGGTGTCTAGGGCGGGCCTCCGGGTCTCTGGGGACTCTCAGGTTGAAGTCTTGCTCTGGGCAGAGGCTCCAGGGCGTTTTCCCAGAGCCGGTGGCTCTGCACCGCTGGAAAAACCACGCTTCGTCGCAGGTCAGTCTGTCCGCGGAGCCACCTTCCCGTGGCCTCTTCAGACCGGTTCTTGGAAGTCAGTGGTGGGGTGTTAGCTACTTTAAAAGAAACCTGCCTTTGTGTGTGTGTGCCGCCGGAATTATGTCGGAATTCCGGGAACCGTTAGGCCCCTGGGGATTCTGAAGCGGGTTTCTCTGTTGGAGGCTGGGTTGGGTATGGAAGGGTCCTCTTAAGCACCTTGTGCAGAAAGCCACCCCTGAGCTAGGCGCCGCCTCCTCTCTATTCAAGAAGGCTCTGTGGTCCCATGCTGGGGCTGGGACGCAGGGGGGACTCACTCTTTTTTTGTTATTTGCACACCTGAGTGTGTCACGTTTTGCTTTTGTATCCCCAGCATGGCCACCAGCCTTAACGCAGACAGCCCGCAGCCGCTGAGCCCGCTGTCTACCCAGCAGACCACACTTCTGCTACTCCTCTTGGTCCTGGCCGCCGTGCACTTGGGACAGTGGCTGCTGCGACAGTGGCGGCAGAAACCGTGGTCCTCGCCCCCGGGTCCTTTCCCTTGGCCACTGATCGGAAATGCGGCGTCTGTGGGCCGAGCGTCACACCTGTACTTTGCTCGCCTTGCGAGGCGCTATGGGGACGTTTTCCAGATCCGCCTGGGCAGCTGTCCCGTCGTGGTGCTGAACGGCGAGAGTGCCATCCACCAAGCCTTGGTGCAACAGGGCAGCGTCTTCGCGGACCGGCCGCCCTTTCCCTCTTTCCGCGTGGTGTCTGGTGGCCGCAGCCTGGCGTTTGGCCACTACTCGGAGCGCTGGAAGGCGCAGCGACGCGCGGCCTATGGCACGATGCGCGCCTTCTCCACGCGCCACCCGCGCAGCCGCCGCCTCCTGGAGGGCCACGCGCTGTGCGAGGCGCGAGAGTTGGTGGCGGTCCTGGTGCGTCGCTGCTCCGGCGGCGCCATCCTGGATCCGACGCAGCCGATCATCGTGGCGGTGGCCAATGTCATGAGCGCCGTGTGCTTCGGCTGCCGGTACAACCACGACGATGCCGAGTTCCTAGAGCTGCTCAGCCACAACGAAGAGTTCGGGCGCACGGTGGGCGCAGGCAGCCTGGTGGACGTGCTGCCCTGGCTGCAGCTCTTCCCTAACCCGGTGCGCACCGCCTTCCGCGAGTTCGAGCAGGTCAACCGCAGCTTCACCAACTTCGTCCTGGACAAGTTTTTCAAGCACCGCGAAAGCCTGGTGCCCGGGGCTGCTCCCCGAGACATGATGGACGCCTTCATCCTCTCCGCGGAAAAGAAGGCGACCGGGGGCCCTGGCGATGGTCCCTTCGGGCTGGATTTGGAGAACGTGCCGGGCACTATTACGGACATCTTCGGAGCCAGCCAGGACACCCTCTCCACCGCGCTGCTGTGGCTGCTCATCCTCTTTACCAGGTAAAGCCTCTAGGAGGGATGGGTCGATCCTTTCTTTCCTCTTTTGAAAAAGGGCGTGTGGCTAAAAGGTCACTAGCTAGGCGCAGGGTTTGAGGTTTCGCCCTGCCCCAGCTCCATTCCTTGAAACTGAGATCTCGGGGAAGATAAGCCAGGGACCACTAGGACAGGCCTAGACGCGCTCCCCTCGCCCCCTCCCCCACGGTTGCCAACATCTCTGAAGTTGTCTCTGGCCCTCCCCACTCCTCTCGTGACTGGGAACAAATTTGGGAAGAGCCCTCCCCCGGAAAAACAAGATTTTTTTGCCATGCGAGGAGATCAGCCTTGATCCTTCCGTGGCTCAATAGAAGCAGAATTGGACCAGCTCCAAGGTTCAAGGTGGTGCAAGTAGAGTGTTAACTAAACACGGCCACCGGCACCGTGAAGGCTGTCCAGCCCGGGTCTTAACATCCAGCTGCAGGGCAGGGCTTTGTTACCAGGCAAAGGAAGCCAGAGGAGGCAGGTCCCCAGAGGACAACCTGCGAATAAGATTCACCCCGAGGCAAAGAAAGTAGGAGCAAAGAAAGCCACTTCCGTGGCTGCGATCAGGATCTAGAGAGGAGTCTAAGTTATCAAGGAGGTGCCAGGGCCATCCTAATCTGTGGGCCAGGGCACAGACCTCTACAGAATTGCAAGGCTGCGTGCAAAGATTAAGCAGCTCCCCCACCCCCCGCTGTCAGGTGGTCTAAGCAAATGAATCCTTTATGAGAATTTGACGAATACCTATTGTTTACCTGAAATTCAGATTTAGCCTGTATTTTATCTGGAAACCCTACGCTGTTTCTTAGCACATAAGGGATATTGAATATGTGCTCCCCTCTTTGAATTTGGCAGGCAGAATCGATTCCTATTTGGATTCACACAATTCGTGTTTCTTCAGATGTTGCACATCTACTTTCACATTTTTAAAGTCTATTTAAAATAACTTTTCAATATTGAAGTCAAATTGTGGAAACATATATTGGGACTATTGGGTCTGGGGGGGGCAGGGGAGGCAGAAAATAAAGGGAATTCAACTCAAGATTAGGAAAAAGGCTGCCTTGGAGAGGGATCACCAGGTCTTTCACATACCAAGATGAGCTTGTACCCTTTGGAATAAAAAAATTATTGAGCTGTGTAAGCGACTTTCCATGTGTTCCAAAGAAATAAAATAATTTCGGGGTCATTGTCAATTAAACAAAGATGACATTATTTTTTCTTTTTCGTGAAGAGACAATGTAATCAGAGTGGGTAAATTATAATGCCCGTTTAGAGCATAAATTTTACGGGCACACCTGGTTGGTCCACTCCTACAGTGTCTGCTTTCACACTACAGTGCCAACTAGTAGCTGTTGGAGGGAGGGTTTGCTCCATGGGGTCCGAAATGCTTGCTATTTGGCCCTTCGTGGAAAACGTTGGAAGGTCTGTTAAGTGATTTTAACAGCAGCTGGGATTTCACCATTTAAATGCTTAGCTTATTTTCGAGGCTGTAATTATTCTCCTCCAACATCCACCCTTTTTTGAGCCTTCTACTTAAACTTCCTCAATGTTTAACATTGATTTTAGCATGCTTTTTCTCTTTTGAAAAATATTTTTTTTATTCATTAATTTTTGAGTATATGGCAGTTTTGCCCGAGTGGATGTCTGTGTACCAGGTGCATGCCTGGTGCCCGCCGAGGTCAGAAGAGGGTGGATCCCTTGGGACTGGAGTTACAAACTCTACTCAGGTGCCACATGGGCACTGGAAATTGATCCCAGGCACTCTGCAAGAACAGCTGATGCCCTGAACCACAGAGGCATCTCTCCAGCCTGGATTTTTAGTAATTTTGATGGCTACATAGTATCTGGTCCTAATATTGTACACGTATAAAATCAGATAAAATCAGTTTTCAGCTTTAACATTAATTGTTGGTTTTTAACTGCATTATAAGTTTTAAGTATTATTATAATTATGTATCATTATACCTGTTAGTCTATTTTCCAAAAATAGGCTTTTAGAGATAAATAATTGGGTTTAAGAAATGAAGGACCAAGGAATAATTGCCTTTGTAAAGTTTGCTGTGCACTAAGATTTTTGTCTTCCAAAAGAATTATCCCAGTTCCTATCAGCAAGAGCGCAGAAGTAAAATTTGTACCCCCTTCTGACAAACTGGGACTCTGCCTTTTAAATTTAGGAAATGTGCAGCTTTATCTATCAGGAGACCAGTAATACTTTGTAAAATAATAACAGTGAATTGTCTAATGATATGAGGAAAGGAAAATAATCCACGTTCAGGGCAGCGTTTGAGCTTTTGTGGGCCTGGGGTCCTTTGGCCGTTGTAGACTGCTTTATGAACACATTGAAAGTATATTTTATGACCACATTGGTATAAAATGAATATTAAAAACGTGTTATGAGAACTTCTACTTAGAATTCCATTTGTTTAGGTCTGAAGGCTTTACAGGATAGACAAATATTTTCCTGGGTGTCTAAAATGTCTTGTGGGCCTAGGCACTGTGCCCGGTACACAAGTAGGTTTGGCCACTAATGTGCATTTTTAGACTATTAAAAACTTAAGAGTTTTATTTTCTCACAATGGGAAATAAATCCTCGGCCATAAGAGGCTTATTACAGAAAAATAAAATTGCTTAACTTATAATATTGAGTGAGAGAAATTGGTAACCTGTTTTTTTTTTAATTTTCTTTCAGAAATTGTAATTCAGTCTCAGACCTAGATAGTTTGTGGAATTAAAGTAGAATTGCTGTGTGCTGTGAGGTGGAGGGTGAACTAATTTTGCTCTCTCTCTCTCTCTCTCTCTCTCTCTCTCTCTCTCTCTCTCTCTCTCTCTCTCTCTCGTCCCCTTTCATGCTGAAATCCGAATAGATACCCTGATGTGCAGGCTCGGGTGCAGGCTGAGTTGGACCAGGTTGTGGGGAGGGACCGTCTACCCTGCATGGATGACCAGCCCAACCTGCCATACGTCATGGCTTTCCTTTATGAATCGATGCGATTTTCCAGCTTTCTGCCTGTTACCATTCCTCACGCCACCACGGCCAACACCGTTGTCCTAGGCTACCACATCCCCAAGAACACGGTGGTTTTTGTCAACCAATGGTCTGTGAACCACGACCCAGCCAAGTGGCCTAACCCAGAGGACTTTGAGCCAGCCCGATTCCTGGACAAGGACGGCTTCATCAACAAGGAACTAGCCAGCAGTGTGATGATTTTTTCCGTGGGCAAACGGCGGTGCATTGGGGAAGAGCTCTCGAAGATGCTCCTGTTCCTTTTTATCTCCATCCTTGCTCATCAGTGCGATTTCAAGGCTAACCCAAACGCGCCCTCAAACATGAGTTTCAGTTACGGCCTGACCATTAAGCCCAAGTCGTTTAAAATCCACGTGTCTCTCAGAGAGTCCATGGAGCTCCTTGATAGTGCTGTTCAAAAGCTGCAAACTGAGGAGGCTGGTCAGTGAGAAGCCAGAGGTAGCTGAAATGTTACAACACCCGCCTCATTAACTGGGGAGGAAAACACAGCGTTTTTTGTTTGTTTTTTTCCAGTTCCACTTTGGCCATCACGTCTCTGAAGTGAGCAGAAACCAAGTGGCCTGAAGGTGAGGCATGTTTACCATGGCTCCTCCGGGGCCCATGCCACCGTTACTGGCTGTATTTTTTGAATCAGAGTAAAAGGGCCCAAGGAATTTGGATCCTGTCAGCAAAACCTTCCTAAGGGAACTTCCCCCCCCCCCCAATTAAACATACGCACACATATCAACAGTTGTGCACAACTACCCAAGAAAGTATTTCAGTGATTCTGCCTTTGTAGGTAGATTTGAGATGGAACTTCTACGTGCAGAAATTTACCCCTTCAGAAACCACACTAAGCAAAGGTTTAGGATATACTCAAGATTCGAACACAAGTAATTTCAGTGTAAAACTGTAAAGACCAGAAATTCTCCACCAAGAAACAACCTACTTAGGAAAGTATTTTAACTCCTCGGAGGTAGCCCTGGGTGAGGTTTTCTTTCTGCCTGCAGATGTGCCTCCCACTCTAGGATGGACCCTAAAGTCAGTTGCTCAAAAAGAAATGAATAGTTTAACTTAATAACTGCAGTAGAGTTCAGCGATTAATTAATTTAAAGGTAAATTGTTTAGATGGCAAATTTTGTTTTCTACAAGTTAAAGTTGCATGCCATTTGGCTGCTAATGTGAAGTATTCCAGTTAGGAGGAGGAAAAATATTTGCTAGTCCAACGTAAGCTTTCAGATACGGGACTGTAATAAACCTGTATCAGTGATAAGTCTCACAAACTAAAAAAACAAAACAAAACAAAACCTCATGTCACCAAATAGCATTCAATGCATATAAATTTGTTACATAATTACTCATAAACATCATATGAATATTAATTATTTGATCAGCAAAACATTTGAATGATATATTTCTTATGTCATATAGTAAACCAAAAAGTATATATAATCCGTTGAAATTTGCCCAGATCCACGCAATGAGCTAGACTAAATGGATCTGTTTTGACATCAGGGAACCAAGTAACAAAGATTTTTTTTTTTTCCCCATTCAAGGTTCAGACAAGGAACAAATCTCAAAACTAAACCAGTTAAAATATGTTCTTATCTGGTAGTTGTTATGATAAAGATGCTCCTTTTGGAATTGACCCCATTAATATGTTAAGGTTCCAAACTCTTGGCATGCTTCGATTTTAAATTAATTTAAAATCCATCTTGATTACTTTGTTTCAGTTGAAGCTAGAGGAAATAGCATCACCATCCCTTCAAAGGGGAGACACCTAACCTTTGTCTGAGGACAAATGCTGAAACAAGGCCATGGATTTTCTAGATGTTCTTTGTATTAGGACATACGAGAGGAAACTCATTACAACTGGGCAATTTCTTTTTAACCGTTATTATTATTGTTGTTGTTACTGTTTTTGAAGTTGAGTATTAAGGTCTGTGGGGTTTTTTTTTAAATTGTCTTGGGAGGCTGTTTAGTGATTGCATTGTGAGACGGTGGGGATAGCTAAAATCAGTTCTCTTATTTCGGATGGCACACTATGAGCAGTTACCTTTTGGTCTCTGGGAAAGAGGAAACAGATGCATTTGGATTATGTAAACAAGCTGAAAACCCTTGGAGAAGGGCTGGAAGAGTGCAGAAGTAGGAGCAGGGCTGGTGGGGGATTCCCATTTCTGTTTTCCTTGCCATTAGACGGAACAAAAGAAGCCCACTGTGCTCAGAGAGCTTACTGTTTGCTCTGTTTCTCTGGGCTTTGTGGAATTTTCATATCAGAATTAGAAAGGATGGAGTGTGTGATGCCTTTTGTGTGGAGGCAGCCAGAAGCTGCAAGAAAGATGTTTAAATGGTTCCCATTCACTGCAAATTAATTTATTGAACTACAAAATTTGAAACATGAACATTTCGGGGGGGGGGGGGGAGAAGATGTTTGGAGTGACAGCCCTTAAATTTTAAGGGTATCTTAAGAATCGCCCGAACCTTCCTCTACCTTCCACCTCTACATCTATTTTGTAGTTGGAGATTGAGTTATAAAAATTTAATCTTTATTTAAAGGTTTTCACCACAGAACCCCTTGAATGTGAAACACGGGTTGTGTCAGTATTTTAAAAGCCTTAATTTCAACTACAGAAAGGAACTCTATCCAAAGTTTTTTTATTTGTTTTTTAAGTCTTCTTAAAAGCATGCATCTCAGTAGGACTGGGGCAGAGACATGGGCTCCTGTGGCCTCTTTCTCTGAGAAATCCGTCATAGTGAAAGTCGTCATGTACCAATCTGGACCCCTCATTAAGTTAACCAGACCCAGACGTGCGTTTCGTGAATGTGGGCACGGTTTTCACCAGATGCTTTCAGCGACAGAGGAAGAAGCAGGGGTGCTTTATTTAATGTTTTTAGAAACTAGTGAAAGGAAGGAGGTCGTAAACCAGAAATGAGCAACAATTACCAAATCTGGAGGCTATCGTGATGGATTTACTGGCTTAATCAGAAAGCCTGATGTTATTTCTCCCACAGAAGGACTTCATTTGCTGATCACCACATAAGGCAGAATGTTCAGCTCAGCACAGCAAAAGTACTTTCTTACTAAATGCCTCATTTGGGTATTAATGCTTGGACTGTGTCAGAACATCCTTTTTTAAAAAAAAAAAAAAAAACAAAAAAAAGATGTCTCGGGTATGTTTTGTGGGTTAATCAAAAGAGTTCATGCCCCAGAACTTAGCCTTTACCTGTGAAATATTACCACACTCTTAATGTTTTCGCACCAGGGCTGTATTAGATCAAGTAGATACATCACCGTGTATGTTAATTAGTATGTTTTTTAGCTGTGACACGATTGTATGATAAAGAGTACATGTTACCTGGTGACTATAACCCATGCATAACTTCCTATTTAGCCTCTTCTTGTGTTTTTATACTTTATCATGTATGTTCTTTGTGTGTATATAGCTGATACAGTGCACAGTCATAACCAAGACAGATTCTATGCACACAGCATTAACTAATGTGTAGCCTTTACCTTTTGATGTACTAAAATTTTTTAAAAAAGTTTTATTGGTCATTATCTATTACAAAACACCATTACCTAGACAATAAAATTCACTTTCATAATTCTATGAAGTTTCTTTTTATGTTACAGCAAAGTCTCGTGGGTCATTTATTTCTACTATTATTATGTGCTCTGGCATTGACATACTGAAGCGTGTGGTCCTCACAGCTCCTATGTGTATTAATTCAGCCTTCATATACCCAGTGTGTGCTGTGTGGCTGCCTTCAACTTTGTTACACATCAGCCCATTACTCCCTAATGTAAAAAAATAAATATGCATCATTTTGTTGGATCATTCCATACCTTAGCCTGTTTACTCTTTATTTTTTTTCCAATTTATTTTTTCATTCAATACTGTCTTAGCATCCAGTTTTCTCGAGCAAATCCTTGGTCTTTATATTACTGAATTTATAAAAACCAACAAAAGATTAAATTTTACTGGTGATCAGCCAAGCAAAATAAGAACTAACTCGTAATTTTGAAAGACTGGATCGAGGTCTTAACATGTTGACCTAATATTTCTGCTTCATCTGAAAAATGCAGGATACATCTGTCCCCCTCGGCAGCATGCTGTCCCTTTCTTTGAGCATGCCGTCCATTCATTTTTAAGATTTGTTCCCCTTGATTAGGAAGCGTAGCTGGCGTCCAGTAAAATAGAATGGGTGAGAAAATTCTGCCGTGCACTATGTGTGTTTGGTAAGTTGCATGGTGTCATGGGACGCATAGCCAGGGCCTCACTGTTCAGCACACACAGGTGGTAGGGCCGTGTAAGGTCAGGGGCCCTTATGTCTTCCAGACAGCCGCCCTGGTTATTATGAAAATGGGAAAATAAACAGGAAAGACAAAATGGCACTCTATGTCACTGATACTTTGGCTGAGAGCATCAGTTTAGCAACCCAAAAGGGATGGCTGTGAGTTGGTCTTAAGGAATATTCACCTGTTTTCCAGATGCATGATTTAAAAAAAAAAAAGTTCTTGGAAAATGGTCATATCCATTCAGGACAAGGGAGAAATACTTTCTGGGGGAAAAATTAAAATCTCAGTGGGGTTGGTTTTTTTTTTTTTTTTTTTTTTTTTTTTGGTTTGGTTGTTTGGGGGAGTAAGCCCAATTAACCAATAGAGTCCAGGCTAGATGCAGGTGGGAAAGGAAGGTGGCTTTGGGCGTCACCCAGGTGTGCTCACTGGAGGCTTGTATTGGTGGAAGTATTAAGGCAACTCCATGTAGTTAAAAGGGAGGTTTATTTTGTGGAGTAACTTACAAGTGAAGGGATAGGTTACAGGGTCCGGGAAAGGTGTAGTGGAGTCCAGTGGTGTTCTCTGGAGAACTCTGCTCAGTCTACCTCCAGTGTCCAGGGCCCAGGAACCAAGAGAGCTGGCCCATCCGGATCTTGGGTCTTAAGGGCTCCTGTCTCGGCCCCGCCTCGTAGGTATGACAGTTACCGGAAGCCTCAATGGGGGTGGTACTTCCAGGTCAAAGCTGGAACAGCTACGCACTACATCTCCTCCTTTTGTCTAAATAAGAAGGTTCTAACCTAATATAAAACTATATACAATAGGAATGATTATCAAATATTGTCCAGGAGGAATAAGGGATAATGACCTAGATAAGATGGAACTACAATCAACATGAACAATATCAAACAAAAGACACATACTAAGATCCAGAGAAGTCTGGAGCATGGGTAGATGGCACGTTACAGAGATCATTCCAAAAGGTGCCCTATCCTGAGGAACCTGAATCTAATACCAGGTCATTCTGGCACTTTAACATCAGTCCACTTATTTGCACACATGTTCCAGAAACGAACTGGCTTTCAGCTTTCTCTTATTTTAGCTCAGTGAATCTTTGCTCTCTGGCTCGTTCCTCTTAGTTATCCTCGGAAAAGGAGGAAAAAGGAAGGAAAACGAAACATACTCTGGCTGGAGAGGTGGCTCAGTGGTTAAGAGCACTGGCTGCTCTTCCAGAGGACCCGGGTTCAATTCCCAGCACCCACGTGGCAGCTCACAACTGTAACTCCAGTCCCGAGGGACCCCACACCCATGGCAAAACACAAGTACAAACCTGAAGAAAATTTAAAAAAAAAAGGTCGTTACTGTTTTTCAGCATGCATCGGGTAAGAGAGTAAAGACAGAAGGAAGGAATAATGCGCACTTAGGGGTTTGGGATCAATGTACTTAAGCTCTTAACACATTCTAGTGTGGCGGTCTTTGGTGGAGGGGTAGCAGCATCCTCGTCGGGACTGTCCCCAAAAGCTGACTTCCTTGTCTTGGTACTGTCACCTGTCTCTTCCCAACTGGCCTATGATTGGAAACACAAGGTAGTTCGCCAGCCTTTGAGAGGCGTGATCCTCAGTAGGCTCACAAGCAGTTTCCATCCTTTGGGAGGACATATTATTGCAAATCCACTCTAGTGGCTAAATTTATTTATTATTTATTTTGGTTTTTCCAGACAGGGTTGTTGTTGTTGTTGGCTGTTTTTGCTCTTTGCTCTCTGGGGGAGGCTGCCACCCAGCTCCCAAATAAATCATACGCACGGAGTCTTATTCTTATAAATGCCCTGCCTTAGCTTGCCTTATTTCTAGTCAGCTTTTTGTTAACTTTAAATAACCTTTCGCCTCTGGGCTTACACCTTTCTCTTACTTCAGTATATCTTACTTTCACTCTTATTCTGTGGCTGGCTGTGTGGCTGGGTGGCTGGGTGGCTGGGCCCTAGCATCCTCCTCTCCTTGTTATCTTGCTCTTTTCTTCTTCTCCTCCTCCCAGATTTCTCCTTCTATTCATTCTCTCTGCCTGCCAGTCCTGCCTATCCTTTCTCCTGCCTCGCTATTGGCTGTTCAGCTCTTTATTAGACCATCAGGTGTTTTAGACAGGCAAAGTAACACAGCTTCACAGAGTTAAACAAATGCAGCACAAAAGAATGCAACACATCTTTGCATCATTAAACAAATGTTCCATAGCACAAACAAAAGTAACACATCATAAAATAATATTCTACAACACAGGGTTTCTCTGTGTAGCCCTGTCTGTTCTGGAATTCGCTCTGTAGACCATGCTGGCCTTGAACTCAGGGATCTGCCTGCCTCTGCCTCCTGAGTGCTAGGATTAAAGGCATGTACCATGACTGCCTGGCTGCTAAATTTATTTTTTAAAAAGCAAAAAAAAAAAAAACTGGTAGTAGTAAGAGTTAGGGAATATGTGAAGTTCCTGGAATTTTCATACAGTCCTGAGGGGAATGCAAAATGGTGTGGTATGACGGACTCCAAGATATTCATCCTATAGAGGAGAAATAGGTGCACACAGAAACTATACCTAAATGTTTGCAGCAGCTCTAGTCATAATCACCCAAACTGGAAGTGACTTTTCCTCCAAAGGTGATTAGCTAAAGTGAATGTGGTACAGTCACATAATAGAATCTGACTCAGCATTGAAAAGGAATAACTGAACATAAACCCACTTGTCAAGGGAGTTATGTTGGTTAAAAAAAATAAAAAGGTTATATACTTCATGATTCCAACAGTTTAGTGGTGGAGAAAGTTGGATTCAGTTCTGTACCAGGCCTTTTCTTTTAGACCACCAGCCAGCTTCCAAATCATGACGTGGACACTTATTCTTAGCTATGAATGCTCAGTCTTAGCTTAGCCCTTATTTTAATCTGTTCCTCTTTATCTACATTTTGCCTCAGGGTTTTATTTTCTTTCTGTATATCTTACTTTCAATGCTTCTTGTGTGTCTGTCTGTCTGGTAGCTCCTTGGCTTCTGACCCCAGGCATGCCCCTTTACTTCTCCCTCATTCTTTCCTCTCTCTTGAGCCTAGATTTCTCCTCCTACTTATTCCCTCTGCCTGCCAGCCCCGATTATCCCTCTCTCTGCCTAGCTATTGGCTGTTTAGCTTTTTATTAGACCAATCAGGTGCCCTGGGCAGGCAAGGTGAAACAAATGCAACTCATCTTTACATAATTATACAAATGCAGCACAGACAAGTGTAACACATCTTTACATAGTTAAAGTAATATTCCGCAACATAGTTCTTGATTATGGAAATAGTTACATGGACATATAATTTTAATGAGAAACAAAATCGTAACAGAACAATTTTAAAAGTTTTAAAGGGGAGTTGGTGTAAAGGAGCTTCCATGGACTGAGATAGGTTGCTAGAGCTCATAGCAACTATTTCTGCATAAGCAACAAGATGGTTTTGTGAAGAAGGGCCAAGGCCTGAATGGACACTATTGCTGCTAGGAGTGTGTGTGTGTGTGTGTGTTGGGGAGGGGGGATGCCAGATTCTCCAAGTTCAACAGGAAATGAACCACCAATCTTTGGGGTAGAACCACTCACAAGTCAGAGAAATTTTACTGTGATGCTTTTGGGTGTTAACTGTGTATCAACCAGGAATTGTTGTAGGAACCTGGATATAACAAGGAACCCCAGGCTCTGAGCTCATGGAGCCAATCAGTAGTCTTAGTGGGATGGACAGGTGGGTGGAGGGAAACAACATTTTAGTTGTGTTATAAAAGCAGAGTGGTGTGGTGTGGTGTGGTGTGGTGTGGTGTGGTGTGGTGTGGTGTGGTGTGGTGTGGTGTGGTGTGTGTGTGTGTGTGTGTGTGTGTGTGTGTGTGTGTGTGTACCTGTGTGTGGTGTGCATAAAGAGTGTGTATATATGCACGGGAGTGTGTGTATGTGTACGTGTTTGTTTTCGTGAGCATGTGTGAGTGTGTTGGGAGACTTTACAATGAGTAGTCAGGGAACACTCTTAAGGGAAGCAATACCAAGGGGTAAACATCGAGGATGTCAGCTTCTGCCTAAGTTCTTCCTGTGGAGGAAATTCAGACAGGGAGTCATCATCGGACAGCACATGAATTACCCATAGCACTAACAAAAAGTCTGGTTACACCCATTGAGTTGATTGCATAGCCACTTAAAATCTGGGCAATTTGAAGTAAACTAGTCCGAGCACACCCTATGACAGATGTTGTGGGCAAGTCCTTCCTCTGCTTTGGCTTCTGCTTTTGCCAAATGGCATTGGTGTGGTCCAGACCATTCCCTGACTTCGGCTCACTGGCTCATTCT